CTAATTAAGTGATTCAACAAATGGTTTGCATCCTAGGTTCTTTCTAACCATTTGCTCTCATTGTATATAGACTTCAAAAGTTTTTAACTTTGGTATGACATTAGCATCAAATGCAGGGAAAAGGGATCAGGAAAACCCATCTGCACATGAAGATGTATCTTTTGGTTTGAGAAAGGCAGACCTCAGAGACTGGCTTTGGCTTATATCTCATTGAATAATTCTGGACTATATGCCTACCTTGCAACACTCCATAACTAAGGAAAATGAGATTATAGTAACTGGTTTGGGGGAAAAAAATCATATAATGTTGGAAAGGGAAAACTCAGTTCAGTCTACCTCATGTGTGCTTCTTTCCTATGAGTGTCCTTTCTTATTCACATAAAACACTCTACCTCTGACACTTCTGATCACCAGATGTAGAGGTTTCTCCCCATACCAAGCTATTACCTAAACAACTTAACTCAGTTCTGGGTGTCCTATGTGCTAAGTTGCTTCAGGCATATTCGATTCTTTGCAACCCTATGGACTGTAACCACCATGCGCCTCTGTCTATGGGATTCTCCAGGCAACAGTACTGGAGTGGGTTACCATGCCCCACTCCAGGGGATCTTTCCTACCCAGGGATCAGACTTGCATCTCCTGCATTGGCAGGCAGGTTCTTTACCACTAGTACTGCCACGTGGGTATCCCACAATCTAACTTAATTCTAACAACACTATGCATTTGAAGCTAGTGTTAGAGCATGGTTAAGGCCTCAGTCCCACTAGACTCTCTTTTATTTCAGTTGCCAATCTCAGTAATAGGTCCCCAGATTATACACACTTTTTGTCTGATTTGGCTACAAATCAGAGGTTCCCAGGATCACCTCAGCTTCAATTAATTTGTTAGAGTGGCTCACAGATCTTAGGAAATATTTACCTACATTTACTTGCTTATTTAAAAATATAATAAAGGAGCTAGATGAATATCCAGATGAAGAAATACACAGGCAAAGACTGAGATGGTCTCAAGTACAGCAGCTTCTGTGCCTCTGGAGTCAGGGTGTATCACCCTCCAGGTTAGTGGATGTGTTCACCAACACTGCCTTTCTACAATCTAAGAAGTTTTCAGCTGCCCACATTGGGTGAGATCAGTTCTCACAGACCCTCTCATTTAGCCTGATAGCTCCAATTCCTTTTGGATTTTATTTGTTCTACCATTTTTAGGAGGGTTAACAAATTGTGTTTTATTCATATTTTGAATATTACATAGTTTAGAGAAATTAGGTTGATCTATATATAATAGGGGCTTCCCTGGTGGATCAGTTGGTAAAGAACCTGTCTGCAATGTAAGAGGCCTGGATTTGATCACTCAGTCAGGAAGATCCCCTGGAGAAGGGAATGGCAACCCACTCCAGTATTCTTGCCTGCAGAACCCCATGGACAGAGGAGCCTGGTAGACTACAGTCCCTGGGGTCGCAAAGAGTCAGACACCACTGAGCAACTAACACACACACACACACACACAAACACACACACACATATACTACTAGAGACATTATCAAATCATACTGATAGATATGAAATAAAATGGCAAAACACATAGTTTCAAACTTATATAAAAAATTTAATATTGTTTTTAAGGATATGTTTATAAATATGAATTATCAATAAAATTTAGGAAGGATACATGCCAAATTTGGGGGGAAGAAAATATGGTATTTATGGATATTCAAAGGAACTTTTTAATATAATTGTTCAGGCTTTTGAGACATTTTTAAACTTGCAACTTATGTATTTTAAAGTAATATTATATTAAAGTGACAAATATGAGCCTTAATTATATAGCTTTGATAGTTGCTTTAAGGTCCTAGGGGATTCTGTGCTTTGCTGACACAATTCTAGAACATTGAAAAAGAAGAAACGATCATTTATCCTCTTCTCAAAAATAACATTATTATTAAAAAATATCTCTTTTTATACTGATACCTCTAATTCTCCTGTTCACCTCCCTTAACCCTTAAGAAACCACGGAAATTTTAAGTGCAATGACTGTTGGTTAATGCAAAGCTAAACTGGACCAAAGTTACCTTGGCAAATTGTCATGCTGTTTTGTTTTTTTTCTTTCAACTTTAATACCCACGAATTTTAAGTGAGGCAGTAAATAAAAAAGGAATCTCAAAATCCTGTTTGGACACTGGGAAGAAAACTGGATTTTTTTTGGGGGGGGCACTCTCTGTCTCTTAGCCACTGGCCAGGAAATGATCTTTCTGTTTGAAATCTATTCAACTGAGAGAGATGTGGTGACTGGGGAAGGAAGGTGACCTCTCCCTTGTAAAGCAGACTGGCTGTTTCCCTCTGTGAGTTCCACCACTGTTTATAACAACACTTGTGCTGAATGGTTGTAGTGACAGTAATAGTCATAAAATATGGCTCAAATTTCATTTTTAATTGAAATATACATTAATTTACAATGTGTACATTAGGTATACAGCAACTGATTTGGTTTTACAAATATATATATATACACACACATATATATATATATAATTATATATATTCTTTTTCATTATGGGTTATTATCAGACATTGAATATAGCTTTCTGTGCTACAAAGTAGTTTTTTGTTGTTTATCTATTATATATAGTAGTGTGCATATGTTAATTCCAAACTAATAATTTATCTCCCTTCCCTCCACTCCATTTGGTAACCATAGATTGTTTTTAATATCTGAGAGTTTGTTTCTGCTCTGTAAATAAGCTCATTAATATCACCATTTTTAAAATTTTCCACATACAATGACATTGTATGATATTTGTCTTTCTCTGTTGACTAACTTGACTGAATATGATAATCTCTAAGTACATTGATGTTGCTGAAAATGGCATTAGTTTATTCTTTTTTATAGCTGAGTAATAGTATTCCATTGTGTGTATATATAAATATATATATATATATATATATATATATATATCACATCTTCTTTATCCATTCCATTGTTGCTTCCATATCTTGGCTATTGTAGAAAGTGCTGCTGTGAACATTAGGGCACATATATGTTTTCAAATTACAGTTTTCTCTGAATACAGACCCAGAAGTGGAATAGCGGGATCATACAGTAACTCTATTATTCAGTTCTATCATTGACAAAAGTAAGTAAATGGAAAAAAAGCTTCAGTCAAATATTAATAGGGCAAAGCACCATACAATTTAAAGACAAACAATGAAAGTGAATTGATTTTAATGTAAACCTGTACCTCTTTACTATTGCTTTAGTTATTTACATAGTTTGTGTCTGAGTCACCTCTTTACAGAACAAAATGTCTTATTTCAGAAATTTTTTTTTTACTTTTATAGACATCTCAAAATCAAGATGCTTAGCAGAAGTCATTTTTAGTAGGGAAGCTATTCTGGACATTTTAAAGCCAGGGAAACTTTCGTGTATTTTGTTGTTCTAGTATTTTTGAACTTAAGGCTTGGGAAAAATCAAGTTTCTCTTCTGCAAAATCGCAAGAAATGTGATTCTCAAAATAGGTAATATGTACATACATAGATATACTTGATTAGATCTCATGGTGTATTTTTACAACACTTTAAGGATAATGAAGTTAGAATTCAGTAGTAAGACAATAGTCACAAGACATAAAAGATGCTGATGTCCATTTTTAAAAGTCTCCTATTTGCTGCAGAAAAATGGCTGAATAGAATGAAGAGCAAAGCTCAGGAGGAAAAAAGTAAAACAAAAAGGGAGCAGATATTCAAAGAAAAAAGGCAAATAATACTAATAAATGGAAAAAGTAATTAATCTGGTAATGAAAGTAATTAAAATTACATCCCAGTACCATCTCTCATCATCATAAATATAACATATTGTATTGACAAGGCTATATTTTAAGAAAGGAGATTTGTACATTGTAGTTGGAAATGCAAAATGTTTTGAGTCCTATAGTGGGAATACTTAACAAAATATATGTTTTTAAAATGCTTATCAAGGACTTGGTAGTTCATAAGTGCTAGTTATTCTACTTGATAATCTAAACTATATTTTCTAAAAGAATAGGGTAATAAGGAAATACAGACAAGAAGGAAGACTAAAGAAAAAAATATAAATAAAGAATGAGGGCAAATGGAAGAAAGGAAATAATGAAAAAAGAACTTGCTTTTTGGCTTACAGAATATAGAAAAGATATATATTTTAGCAGAGCTCAATTTATATAGTATATGTGAACAGTCTAAGGACAAATGAAGTTAAAATTTATATATTCTCTTCTGAGAACAGTCAGAAATAAATGTAGTTTTCATTTCTTTCTCATTTAAGCTACTCTCAGAAAAGAAATCAGTTACAAGTGAGGGAATAGAACTGGTCTATAATGTTAATAAGTGGAGTTACTCAGCCTATGAAATATATAATTTTATATAGAGATTCAAAATGAGCAAAAATATTCAGCATTAGAAACGTGCCATCAGCATCTGGGGTCTCCTTTGGAAGAAGATTGGCTTTCTTCAAGTCATTTGATATACAACTTTTTCTCACAGTTTGTAAAAGAATTTGATTCAATTCAGTTTGCTCACACATATCAACTTTGGCAATAAATTTGCTTCTAAGAGTCAAGTTGTGTGTGAGAAATGTTGCTTTATATTATTGCCCTAGATAGAGTTAAAAATAACCTACAAATATATTATAAACCTTTGCAATTTTACTGCCAAAAAGGGAGATTCACGCAGTGGAGAAATTGTTTATAAAATACATTACTACTGTTAATTTTATGAGAATATTCATTTTGTATAACCAAAACACTCTCTCTGATGGGTGACGTTTTTAACCTTCCTTTCTACACATCATTAGCTCCTGAGAGCTGAGATTGATTCAATAAATCTTTATTTTCAATTTGGAATTTAGCACATTTCCTAGGATTTAAATTTTGCACATTTAAATTCTGCTCTCAAGGACCCAAACATTAGCTCTTCTTTCCATTCTAGAAGTTCTTAGTTCCTCTTCTGGTCACACTAGAAATGAACTAAATGGAAGAAGCAAACCAGTCTGTGGTATCTGAGTTCATTTTTCGTGGATTCTGTGATTCAAGGGAGCTCCAGAAATTCCTCTTACTGCCATTTTCTGCACTCTACCTGATGACCGTCCTGGGAAACCTTTTCGTTGTGCTCTTAATCATCGCTGACTCTCATCTCCATTCCCCAATGTACTTCCTCTTAGCCAATCTCTCATTTGTTGACTTCTGCCTTTCCTCAGTGACCACTCCTAAACTGACCACAGACTTCCTAAAGGATAATAAAACCATCTCCTTTGGGGGCTGCATGAGTCAGATCCTCTTTATACATTTTCTTGCAGGAGGTGAGATGGTACTGCTTGTGACAATGGCCTATGACCGTTGTGTAGCCATCTGCAAGCCACTCCATTACTCCAGAATTATGGATAGACAGAAGTGCATCTGGCTAGCTCTGATATCATGGATCACTGGCTTTGTGCATGCCATAAGTCAACTAGCTATGATTTTAGATCTTCCATTCTGTGGACCTAGAATAGTGGACAGTTTTTTCTGTGATATTCCCAAAGTGATCAAACTAGCCTGCATGGATACTCATACTCTGAGACTGTTGATAAATACTGACAGTGGTGTCTTGGCTGTAGCTTGCTTCATTCTCTTGCTGATGTCCTACACCTACATCCTGGTAACTATTTGCCTTCATTCCAAGGATGGAGCATCAAAGGCACTCTCTACCTGTACTTCCCATATCACAGTGGTGGTGCTGTTCTTTGGACCCTGCATTTTCATCTATTTCTGGCCACTTAGTATCACTTGGGTGGACAAGGTACTTTCTGTGTTTTATACAATAATCACACCTCTCTTGAATCCAGCCATTTACACACTGAGAAATAAAGAAATTAAAAATGCAATAAAGCGACTGATAAGTCAGCATAAGAATACAAAGTGCAATTTTTAAAGCTTTCAGGTAATCAGTAATTCTACTGTTTTCTCCCTATTTTGGACATATTTTGACATGTTAACTAAACTATAAATGTTCATATCTGTAAGTTATAAGTAGTCTCAGATATATTTTTTGTGTTTATTCCATTAAGAAAATATGTTCAAAAAGCTAATACATGCATTCTTACCACTTGGAGAAAATAAAAATTTGTCTAAATCATCTTGTGTATTGTAAAAAAAAATTCCTGGTGATGATAATAAGAATTATAAAATAACAATTTATTTCTATGGATGGTGCTAATGGTAAAGAACTCACCTGCCAATGCAGGAGACAAGAGGTGTGGGTTCGATCCCTGGGTCAGGAAGATTCCCTGGAGAAGGGCATGTCAACCCACCCCAGTATTCTTTCCTGGAGAATCCCATGGCCAGAGCAGCCTGGCAGGCTACAGTCCATAGGGTCACAAAGAGTTGGACATGACTGAAGCATGCTTAATTTAATAAACACTACCTATATTACAAATCTCATGCTGAGTATTTTTCCTAATCTATGTATTACCTAATAAATCATTTTGAGTTAAATATCATTACTCTCACTTCTAGAAATACACGATTCATCTATCCTAACTCTAACTTAGCTAGAGAGTTTAAGGGATATATTTCGCTGCTCTACTTCTACTTGAAAAACAAAATCTAAATGAATCAAACCACAATACTGGTACTTAATAGTGTAATCTCTGTAATTCAAGGTTTCAAGTCTTAACTATTGATTTAAAGGTACAGTTTCCTTGAAAATTTTTTTCTTAAACACACAAGCACAAGGATTTGAAAATGCTTGAAACATTATTTTTTGACTTATATTCAGGAAATAATAAGGATATGTTGCTTCAAAACAAAAGAAATTTAGTAATGAGAGGAAAGTAAAAGGGAACAATCAAAGAACCAACTTTATACAGAAATCATAATACCTCCTACACATGAATGAAAAAGATAAACATCTCAACAGGGGAGATAATGGGTAAAACGTGTGCAGGTATTTATTTCACTGAAGACTATTTCATAATTAATCAGGGAAATGATCATGATAAAATGGTATTATACATCTGTGAAATGGGTTTATTAAAAAAGACACCAAACAAAAACAATTATCGTTCAGAATGTGTATTCAAGGAAATGCTATGCCTTGTGAGTGGGTATAAATTGATTTAAGCACTCTGAATAATAATTTGTATTGTAAAGCTGAACATGTGTATAAACTACATCTCAATAATTGTATGCTAACTGTTCCCTGTGGCCAAGTGCCTATTCTTATTATTACTAATAGTAAATCTCTCAAATTTTAGCTGGATACATGACTCCCCAGCTATACAGTAGATTTCCTAATCCCTATAGACAGTTGTATCTGAATGACCAAGTTCTGGCAATAAGATGTGAGAGTGATTTGTGCATCTTTCAAACCATTATTTTAAAGACATCAGCTCAGGATTCCTTTCCCTGTCCCAGTAACTGAGATATAAAACATCTGGCAAAGATACCTTGTAGTCAGTAATAGATGCCACAAGTTGAGAAGAACAGAGACAATGCTCCAGCCAGGAGATGGATGGACTCCAGAAGAAGATCAGATAACTTGAATGCTTATTAGTAATGTTCTATTTACCATTATATCATTTTCATTTGTGCATTGTTCTTCATGACATATTTATTTGGTTTGTTACAATTAAAATATTGTATAATGCAAAGTTAACGAAACAATAAACAACAGCCTTTCTCTTTGGCCTTCTACAAACACACACACACACACACACACACACAACCCAGAATACAATTGCTCATTCATTCACTGCAGCTTTCAGAAAGTCCATGTAGTTCTGGGCTATATACCTAACCAATAACTGTTATTCTAAGGGAAAAGCCTTCTAAGGAATAAGCCTTCTAGAGAAGGTTTCACTCAATAACCTCCCCAAAAATATATATGTTCTTAGACAAATATATCATACTCAGTAAAATATATGTGGAAGGAAAATGAATGCAGTTTGGTGTTACTGTAAGTTGAGGTATACTAGTTATGTCTGCATCTTATAAACTTTTTAAATGAATCTGCCTGTGTAATAGTGCATGTTTCATAGCCATAGTTGATATGTGTCACTTGCAAATAAAATTATATTAACAAAATCTTTACAGTATATTCATTGTTACTTTATTCCCATGAACTGAGGAAAAAAGTTGATTTCTTGGGTCAGATCCCTAAACCAATAACTATCAACTTAATTGTGACATATCAATCTTTATGCCAAAAAGTTAAAACACCACTAATAATAATATAATTGACTTTAAAAAGGTATACAATTATTGCTATTAATTTTCTAAAATATAAAAAAAAACAAGAAGTACAAACTATACCAAGGAATAATTGCATAAATTTACATTGGGTCATACCAGATGATCATGAAAGCATCACTTAGATCAGTGTACAGACACATTTGGGGACTTATAATGGCTTCTTGAAATATTTTTTAAATGAAAATATCTTAGCTGTGCTCACTGATATAAATCTTTAATTCTAGAAGCCACCATTCATTCATAAGTGATTTGAAGCCTGAATGTAATTTCCTGTCACATCCCTCTTGGAAAGGAACATAATAACAGCACTGCATCCTGATTGAGTCTTTGCTAAATTGTATAATTAGTTCTGATAAACTTACAAAATGAAATACTGCTATCCACCTAGTTTTCAAAGCTCACAAGTTTCATGTAATTCATTATTAATTTAATACAATTTGATTCTAAAATCCATATTTCAAAAAAAATCATAATAGAAATTCAAAGAATCTGCCTGCCAATGCAGGAGACACAGGTTCGATTCCTAGGTCAAGAAGATCCCCTGGAGAAGGAAATGGCAACCCACTCCAGTATTTTTGCCTGGGAAATGCCATGGGCAGAGGAGCCTGTCAGGTTATATAGTCCATGGAGTTGCAGAGTCAGACATGAGTTAACAATTAAACAGCAACAATAAAAAATACAATATCTACATAAGAACATAGAGAATGCAGTTACAGTTGTAGATTTAGAATTAAAATCACTCATTCTGATAAGTGATTAATGTAAGATATCTCCAGCATAACTTATAGTTAATGTTGAAATATTGAAAACCCGTCTCCCACTAAAGTTGGGAATGAGAAAAAATGCTTCCTCTCAACACCAACGTTTGGCATTTTATTGGAAGTCTTGTCCAGTTGAATAAGAAAAGAGACCTAAATAAAATGAGTAAAAAGATATAAACTATTATTCTTCACAGATAATATTTTTGTTCAAATGTTACATAAATGTTACTTCTATAGTTTCCTCACTCTATGGCAGTCTACTTAATTATAATAGCTCAACACATAATATGACTGTTTCATTTATTTTTCTCAGTAGATGGCAAGCTTGATAAGCATAGGATTGTTGGAGAGTAAAGATAAATATAGATTTAATAGTTTTTCAGTCTACTGAATGGGTGAAAATATTAATATTTGTAAATCATATACCTGATAAGGGCTTATAATCCAAAATATACAAAGAGCTTTTAAAACATGATAGCAGAAAATAAAAGCTTGGATTTAAAAAGGCAGAGGATCTGAATAGACATTTTTCCAATGAAGACACACAGATGGGTCCAACAGGCCCATGAAGGAATTTTCAGCATCAATAATCATCAGGGTAATGCAAACCAAAATCACAATGAGAGATCCAACACCTGCCAGAACAGCTCTTATTCATAAAAACAACAAATAACAATAACAAATAACAAGTGTCAATGAAGATTTGGAGAAAAGGGAATCTTTGTGTACTGTTGCTTGGATGTAAATTGGTGCAGTCAATGTGGAAAACAGTATGGATCTTTCCCCCACAATTAAAAAATAGAACTACCATATGTTATAGCATATTCACTTCTGGTTATTTCTCTGAAAATAACTGAAAACACTAATTTGAAAAGATACAAGTATCCTTGTGTTCACTGCATATTTACTATGGCCAAGTTATGGAAGCAACTTACATGCCAATTTGTAAAGAGGTAAAGAAGATATGAAGGATGGAGTCCAGATGGTGGAGTAGGAAGATGGAAACTCATGGCTCCTCACAACTAGGGCACCTACCAGGCACCGGTGGAGGGCCTGGAAGACCTCACGGAACTGGATGAAATCCCTACAGGACTGGGTAAGAAGTAAGGAGGACAGAGAGAAGGAGGAATAGTGGAGACAGAATGGGACAAGCACCCACTGAGGGGTGGCTGGGGGAGGGAAAGAGTTCCAAAACTTGGAGGGGCCCATTCACAGTGAGGAGATCAGCAGGACAGAAAGAGACCTTCAGGAGATTAAGGGATGGGAACCCAGCCAGTGTTTCCCTTGCTCTCGAGGGCTCTGGTGAGTCTGCTGGGATCCTGGGCCCAAACCTCAGTCCTCTGGGACCCTCTTGTGCCATAAGGTCCTGAGCCTAAGCCCCCTCTTCATGGCCTTTTGTAGCCATGAGGGATTTGGACCTAAGTTTCCCCAGGGCACTCTTCCAGTCAGGAAGATAGAGGGGCTGAGCCTCCCATCTCCCACCAAGGCTTTCCTGGCTTTCTTTCTTTTTTTTTTTTCCATCATGGTTCTGTTTTGCTTTGTTGTTATTTCATGTTTATTTTTATTTTTTATAGTTTTATTTTACAATTTGTTATTCTGCTTTGATTGTTGCTTTTTTTTTTTTTTTCCACCATGGCATGCAATTTGCGTGGTCCCTTGGTTCACTGACTGAGGTTCAGGCCTAGCTCCTATGGTGGGAGCACTGAGTCCAGACCACTGGACTAACAGAGAACCTCAAACCACAGGGAATATTAATAGCTGTGAATTCTCTCCAAGGTCCTCATCTCAGCACCAAAACCTGGCTCCAACCAACTGCCTACAAGCTCCTGTGCTGGATGCCTCAGACCAAAAAACCAGCAAAACAGGAACATAAACCTGCCCATAAAAGAAATAAAAAAATAAGAATACAAAAGAATAT